AGGGTGGATCCACTGCACAGGGGCTTAGAGGTTCTCAAGGTGGGAGGGTTTACACAAGAGAGGCTGTGGTATGGGAATGGGGTGGGGAACCCACGCAGAGACTGCCACTACACTAATGTGAACCACCCTCAGGTCACATCTCTCTCAATCCTATGGTGACTTTCCAGTGTCCCAGGAATGATCCAGCTCTAAAGGAACAAGCTGAACTCACTAGAGGGGAGTCCACCTCACTGGAGGTAGCCTTACACACTCAAATGACAACTTCCTCGGGGTGCCTAGGTGGCACAGTCTGTTAAGCATCTGACTCTTTGTTTCAGCTCAGGTTGTGACCTCAGGGTTGAGAGATCAAGCCCCATATCAGGCACTACGCTCAGTGCAGTCTGCTTAAGACTCTCTCTCCCTCTCCCTCTGCCCCCCTCTCAAGTCTGTCTGTCTTTAAAATAAATAAATAAATCTTGAAAAATAAGTAAAAAATAAAAAGACAACTTACTGATTTATAGGAAGAAACTAATCATCAAGGATCAAAACATTTGGGTCAGAGAGTCACTTTGCTTTGCTTTCTGTGGGAGAGGCTGCTCAGGAGGACAAATCCATCAATATTTGGAGCTTACTTAATAGGCAAAGACAGTGAATAGGGGAGATAGAAGGGCATCCCAATCATTTGGAAATGACAGAAATCGATACTCTCTGAAGAGTTAAACTATGAATTCAAATGACCCAATGGTTCAGAGAAGAGCCATTTGGACTGATTAGCTTGCAGTGAACACTCATGCATGTTTAATCTGAGTTAGTGAGACAAAATGATTCCCAGGCCATAACAAGACTTGACAGGAACATTAACATATTTCACAGAGGAATGTGTTAATCACCCGCAGAAGCACAGAAAAAGGGGGGTTTTCAGAAACAAATTTGGCTGGCCCATCCACACCAACCCAGGAGGCCAGGAGGAGTCCTAACTGGAGGTGGAATGGAGGAAGACACATTGGCTGTCAGAGTTTGGGCTATCCAACATCTGAGTCCAAGAAGTAAGTTCCCTGGTTCTGAATCACTAAGCTGATCATTGTCTTCCCAGGGAGCTTTTCGATGGGAGAGACCATCTAGTGAGCTTGGCTTGATTATCTTGTCTGCCTGGGTTATGTTTTTCCAGCCTGGTAAGTTAATTGAATTTATGATTGGAGATAGCAGTCTCTTATGAATTTTTAAGCATGGAGTTCACTTATGTAATGAAGCCCATAAATGAATTGTGTTTCCCAATCTATAATACTTACTCAAGTGGCAGATTCACCAAGTCCAGCTAGTGTATCCCTCCTATTGAGAGCCCTCTGTGTTCCTGAATTCCATTTTGGAAAGAGATAAGTGTTATTTAAATTTTTGAAAATAACAGTAGAATCGGGGAAGAAGAATCCAGATTGCTTAATGGACAGATTGCAGAACTAAAAAGGTTCCATCGAGTGCTGTCTGGTGTAGGCCCATGAGAGTGAACACGTGAGCACATGTGTTCTTCCGAGGCTCGTTTGCAAACCCTGCAGCCTGGGGAAGAAAGCTGAAAAGAGAAGCTAAGTACATTCATCACATCCATCCTACATAAGGGCACTTTCACTTGGGCTTTCATTGTGCTCTCATTAGGAGCTTCTTTAGGACCCATACCCACATAGGTGCTGCTTGTTGAATGATTGTTTCAGAGTCAGCAGTACTTTGGCTCTGCTGCTGTTTATCAGTAGGCATTCCCACAAACCAGCAACTCCTCACACCCCCTGGCCTACCTTTCTCCCCACTCCCCTTCTCAAAGGGCAAGAAGGGGAAAGGCTTCTTTCAGCTGCCTTTGACCACCTCCCATGGCAAAAGGCCCTCTTTGACGAGGGTTGAAGTTCTGTGCCTCTTAATCTAAGAACATCTCAGTCCTTAGATCTGTGATACCTCATTGACAATTGCTGTGCCCCAGATTCATTCCCGGCCATGCCCTTCAAATCCATGCAAGTCAGCCCTCACTCAGAAGGCTGGTTGCCTACATGGGATTCCTCCTCCTCCACGTTCCCGTTCATCTACCTGGGTTTGCTTTTTAGATCATCATGTGGTTTAACTGGCTTACATCTCCCCTTTTAAATACTGAAAGGCCCGGCTAACAACATTTGACAGAGTTACTAAATAAAATTAGGTTAGCAGTGTATTTTGCCCATTCCCCCAAAGAGCAGAAATTGCTTCCTTTCAAGAGAGCTCAACAAGCTTTGGTTCTGGGTCACTTCTGGGCCTATCTGGTATGGACAGGAGCAGGCTTTTGGTTCTTGATAGCCCTACAGAACATGTATTACTTCACACACTACGTTGATGGGAAAGGAGAAAAGCCAGTTCTCAGTAGCCGAGTCTCAAGATTTGTAAACTCTGGTTGGGGCCTCAAGACAGATCTTTTTCTTTGAGGCAACCATCTAATGTAGAGCCTGATGTAAAACCTTCTTCTCTTCATTTGACATTAGAAAAAAAAATTAGGTTTAGAGAAGTTGAGTAATCTTTCCAAACTTACACAGCTCAGGAGATACAAAGCTGGGATTCAAACCCAGGTGTAACTGGCCCCCAAAGCCATGCTCAGCCCAAACCTGTATCCCTGAGTCATTTGCCAGATACCTTGGGAGAGCTACCCTAAATATAGGTTTGGCTGCCCACTGACATCCCAAGCTGAGAGGATAAATGGCTTTGGGACAGGTACAAGGTGACCCAGCATCGAGTGAGTGACAAGTCAGGTACCACAGCTGCCTCCAGGCTTAGAAGCCAAGCAAGACGATTGTCAAGGGGCTCCTGCCTCTTCAACCGGGGACCTTTCAAATAGTTACTCCTGTAGGAATAGAAATTAAGCTTCCTTTAGCAAGCAGAGAGTATCTGGATGAATGTTAATTAATGACATATTGCACTTACCTATAACTTACCAGCCACTCCAGGATCTCAGAGCTCTTCCCCAAATAACTTATTATGACACTATCTTGTGAGGTAAGTGCTTCATTCCACAGAACAGTTAGAAGAAAAGTGAGGCGCCCACATGAAGTCAGCAGTAGTATTTGCATGTTGTGTCTATTCAAGTCTAGTCAAAAACCAGAAACCACTCTAGGTTTCTCAAACAGAGTGGATTTAATACAGGAAATTGGGTACAAAGGTCAGGGGAGAGCTGAGAAACCAAAGAGGACATAGGGAAGCAATCTCAAGAGGAACAAGAGCAGATATCTGCTACTATCCCTGGGGGTAGAGGGCCAATAGGTAGTGCTACCAGATCCCAGGGGTAGGACTGCCTTGCTGGGTCCAGGGAGGAGGTGCCGTCTACAGGGGGCATGCTGACCAAAGTGGGGGCTAGGGATGGAGAGAGATGCCCTGGCTCCTCCCTTTCTCTTGCCCTCTGGCCTTCTACCAGCAGCTCTCAATGACTGAGCTAAGAAGCTAGAAGGGAGCTTGGGAAACGTACTTCCCTACCATACAGGGCTGGACAGAGAAGGACCAATTCCGAATCTAATGGCGAATACTCGCTATGCAGAAATCAACAATGAGGTGGTGAATAGGCGGCAGATATGGCAATGGGTGGGATGGGTTGGGGAAAGGAAAGACTGAAAGTATTACCACAGGCCACTGATTAAAGAGGATTAGGTAGCACACAAGGATTTTTTTCCTGCTCGTTCCTGGCAAGCATGATGATCCAGTATCTTTTTTTTTTTTAATTTTATTTTGTTATGTTATGTTAGTCACCATACAGTACATCATTAGTTTTTGATGTAGTGTTCCATGATTCATTGTTTGCTTATAACACCCAGTGCTCCATGCAATACATGCCCTCCTTAATACCCATCACCAGGCTAACCCATCCCCCCACCCCCTCCCCTCTAGAACCCTCAGTTTGTTTCTCAGAGTCCACAGTCTCTCATGGTTCGTCTCCCCATCCGATTTCTCCCCCTTCATTTTTCCCTTCCTACTATCTTCTTCTTCTTCTTCTTCTTCTTTTTATTATCCAGTATCTTAAGGCATTTCCAGGAAAGTGAGGAAGGGGGCCATAAGAACGGGCTGAAATCCGGGAAGCATGAACTCCAAGGGAGTATTAAAGAATAACGCACGTTTGCGTTGCAAAATAGAAGATTTAGAAGCAGCACAGAACTAACTTCCTGTAGTCACAGCTCGTTATAATAAAGCTGGTCTCAAAGGATAGAGATTGAAAGGAGCAGCTGACCTAGGAGCCACAACAGTAAAAATCAGCCCCAGCGCGGCAGAGGGTGGACAGCTGTATGTCTGGACTGCCATGCGTCTCGCTCCGGGATCGCAGAGGCGAGGTCCTCACTTGCCTGGGGACGAGGAACCGTGATTTTTTCCCTTCATTCTGCAGAATCTCACGGAACCCCTGCAGTGCACCAGGCACTGTTCTCCACATTGCAGAGAAAAAGCAGACAAATAGGAACACTGCAACCCTTCCCGTGAGCCAGAGAAAACGATCCCCTGCATGTGGAGGAGAGGGAAGGGGTGGTGTCCTGGCAGGATATGGTCAGAGAGAATCCGAAACTCCTACTTCCTCTGTTATTCCAGGCTCCGCGGGACAGGTTTGCGGCAGTTAGACACGCAGTAGGGGGCACCTCCGTTTCATTAATAGAGGTCTTACTATAAAGAACAATGAGATTTCCCCCGTGAGTTCTAGTCTGTTCAGTTCAACACAACAATCATTAATGGGGTGCTCATTGTCTGCCTGGAACTGGAGCCACAGAGATGAACATTTTATTAGAAAAGCAATGCCCCTGCCCTCCGTAGAGTAAGATTGGCATATCTGTGCAATGGCCAATGCAGAAATTGCTGCCAGAGCCCTGAGTCCTCCACCGATTCAGGTAGAGGGTGGAGATTGGTTTCCCCACCAGGGCAAAGTGGTGGTGATGTGGAGCAGGGCAACGCAAACCTGACACGAACCAGCTCTGCAGCCCTCCCGTCCCTGAGGGATGATTTTCCACAAGGGAGAGCCTTTCGGATTTTGCCTCTTGAGGCCTATAGCGCCCTCCTTGGCAGCACATATACTGAAGCTATTAAGCATACGGAGGAGATCAGAACGGCCCCTGGACAAGGGTGACATGCACTTTCATGAAGCATCTCCTCTTCTTTGTGACTAGGTTGAAACACAGAGGAGATTTAAGGTAATGAAATACTCTATGAAACCATAATATTGGATACATGTCACTGCATGTTTGTCCAAACCACAGGATGTACACCACCAGGAGTGGACCAGAACATCAACTCTGGACTTGGGATGAGAACGATGTGTCGGTAAGAACGGTACCACCGTGGTGGGGGAGGGTGGGGGTCGGCGGGTCATTTGGGAAATCTCTGCACCTTCTGCTCAGTTTCGCTATGAACCTAAAACTGCTCTTTTTTTTTTTTAGTCTGGACAGTATTCTATTTTATTATGTTATGTTAATCACCGTACATTAATTAGTTTTTGATGTAGTGTTCCACGATTCATTGTTTGCGTATAACACCCAGTGCTCCACGCAGAACGTGCCCTCCTTAACACCCTTCACCAGCCTAACCCATCCCCCACCCCCTCCCCTCTAGAACCCCCAGTCCGTTTCTCAGAGTCCATAGTCTCTCATGGTTCGTCTCCCCCTTCGATTTCCCCCCCTTCATTTTTCCCTTCCTGCTATCTTCTTCTTCTTTTTTTTTTTTTAACATATAATGTATTATTTGTTTCAGAGGTACAGGTCTGTGATTCAACAGTCTTGCACAATTCACAGCGCTCACCATAGCACATACCCTCCCCTATGTCTGTCACCCAGCCACCCCATCCCTCCCACCCCCCACCACTCCAGCAACGCTGACATATCAGATAAAGGGTATCCAAAATCTATAAAGAACTTATCAAACTCAACACCCAAAGAACAAACGATCCAATCAAGAAATGGGCAGAAGACATGAACAGACATTTTTCCAAAGAAGACATCCAAATGGTCTAAAACTGCTCTTAAAAAAAATAAAGCCTTGGGGCGCCTGGGTGGCTCACTCCGTTAAGTGGCTGCCTTCGAGCCCTGTATTGGGCTCCCTGCTCAGCAGAAAGACTGCTTCTCCCTCTCCCTCTGCTGTTCCCTCTGCTTGTGCTCTCGCTCTCTGTCAAATAAATAAATAAAATCTTTAAAAAAAAATAAAGTCTTAATTTTTAAAAAAAATGACTAAAAAGGAGAAAGAAGTTGAAGCAGGAAAGCAGCTGAGTAAACTCCCTGGACCAGACAGACACGCATGAGACGGGCCCTTGAGCTGCTCTGCTGGGGCCCGAAGAATTTCCAACAGTCCCGAGGGGGCCAGGGAGGCCTCAGAGCCCTTCTCTTCCCATCTGGAGGGGGCAAGTAGTGGAGACCAGTGTATCTGAGTCTAATTTCCTCCTCTTATATTAATGCCTGGCAAAAATACACCTAAGTAATTTAACTAGTCCAGTACTATAATTTATTTTTGATTTATTAATTATTAGGAGAAAAATTACATCTGAACAAGATTTCTTACATTGCAAATCTTTTTTTTTTTTTTTTTATGTGTTCCTCTGATAAGGAAAAACAAAGACTCCATTCCTTATTTAAGATTCTTGTCTCTCCTGGTACTATGCTCTCCTGGGACAGTACTGTTGTCATCTTAAAAGTTTCTGTTTCATAACAGAGAATAAGTCGCGGCGCCTGGGTAGCTCAATAGGTTAAACGTCTGCCTTCGGCTCAGGTCATGTTCCCAGGGTCCTGGGATTGAGCCCCGCATCGGGTGCCTTGCTCATCCGAGAGCCTGCTTCTCCCTCTCCCTCTGCCCCTCCCGCCTGCTCAAGCACTCTCCCTCTCTCTCTCTCTCAAATGAATAAATAAAATCTTTAAAAAAAGAGAGAGAGAGAATAAGTCATGTCCAAACCTGGACATCCTTGGTGTAGAATCTCTGCTTCCCTAAATATCTGTTTGTCTTGAGAAGTTAAATTTTTAAGCATAATCAAAGCCTTAGCTAGCCATGCCTGTTTACTTAGCCACAGGATGTTGGGTATCTTGTAGCAATTTGTACAGTGCCCTCAATCTGTGTGTGTTTTCCAGAAAGGATGAGGGCTGCTGGGGGCCTGCTGGGGGGGCAGGGGGCTTCCCTACCCCCAACCCTCACCCAGACTTGCCGTCTGGAGCTCAACCAGATTGCCCACGAAACACCTCTCGTCCGTTCTGACCCAGGGCAGACCGGCTCACCCACCCCACCCATGGCTTCCGGCTGCCTCCTTCTCCGTGAATTTGTCTAGGAAACAAAGTTCGGCCGCTCAGACGCGTTTCTAAGTAGCATTTTCATCATGACTCTCAACTAAGGGCTTTTTTTTCCTTTCAACACCTGGAGACATCACTGAAGTTTGGGGCTTTGTCCACACGCTCAACACAGTTTCACTGCTGTCATTGGCTAGAGCAACCCAGTCCACCTTATACATTCAACCGGCAGCTTAAAGGGATAAACTTGAAGCTGGGTGGATTTTTGGTTTGTTTGCTTCTCTGGCTTGCTGATGGAAGCTGCTGGAGTAGTTTAACAGGTATGGGCGGGGAGGAACAGCTTCAGAGCTTGCCTGCCATCCTCCTCAACATTAATTAGAAAATTTTATATCAAGGTTAATGCCTTGGGAAGCAGTGAAGTTAGCTGTTGAAGGAAGCTGAATTCACCCCTAGGTGGAATACATAACACAAGAAAAAAGTAAAAAAAAAAAAATAATAATAATTAATAAATAAATAAACAGAAGGGCATCCAAAACTGCCTGCCACTCACCAGGGTATGCAAATAAGGAGAAATTTTATTTAAAGCCATAAAATCTTTTTTTGCCTGTTTTTGAGTAAAGGTACTCTTCCTAGTTTTCAAAGTCTGAGTCATCCTTTTAATACCCAAAAATTCAAGTTGGCCAGGTGAGATCGAAAAGATAAAATAGTTCCCCACCGAGAACCAACGACTCCTTTCTCGGGGGCTCTGCAGCACTTTTTGCTCTTCCTGGGTCACGGACCCAGCAAAGTGTCACCTACCTTATAGCCTTCACATCCCTAGGCCCCCTTGAGGGCAGGGGGAACATCATGACCTTCCTAGTGCCCCAAGCTGGTGCATAGTGAGTGCTCAAGATGAGGCGCCACAGCCTGGGTCATGGTCAAGTGTACACGCTCTGGAACTAAACAACCTGGTTTGAGCCCCGAGCTCTGCCCCAGCCCAGTGTGTGTTCCTAACCAAGTTCCTTAAGCCTAGCTATGCCTCCCTTTTCTCAAGGAGGAAATTACAGTACCTGTGTTCCAGGATTTTCATCAGAAGAAAATTAAGATCATCTTAGTGCATGGTTATTGTGACTAAATCATGATGATCTAGACAGAAAAGTTCATCAATACTAGTAAAACAATTTCTTATTTAGGAAGTGTTCGGGCAAGAGAAAACCTACTCGTTTGGGTGGCCCTTAGTGAAGATGGGAATGTTCAGAGGTGGGTATTGGGGAGAAATCACCAACTTGTCCAGTGTCATCAAGAAGGCTTTGAAGAACTGAGATCTCAGGAGCTCTTAGTTGAAGGGAGAATCCAGTGAGTTTGCCCAGAAGAGTCTTAACAGGCCAGGAGGAGAATCTCAGAAAATTGTTCTGTGTCTCACTCTCAAGTTCTCTTCCCCCAAAAGCACTTCTCAGAAGGCACCTCCCCGCTGACCTTGGAAGAGCTAGTCACTGAGGAGCAGGTGCAGAGCTTGTCGTGCAATCAGCTGCCACCGAGCCTTCCTCTAGGGCATCACCCACCCAGTCCCCTATGGTTCATGTGCCCTACAGGTGTACCTGGTTAACTTTTTTGCTCCGAGGGTTGTGCATCCACTGTGCACCAACAGCATGTCGAAGACAGTGATAACCATAATATTGCACGTGCGATACTAACATAGGCAACGTTAAAATGAAACATGCAGACCCACAAGTAAATGGTCTTAATATCTGGGTGATTGCCAGTGACAAAGAACTGGTGGGTCTGAACTTGGTCTCAAACTCCCACAACCAGTTTAGGTCTGGAACCATTGGATGCTTTGAACTAAATCAGTTTGGGAAGTATGTTCACAGAAACTATAAACTATTATCCTTAGAAGAAGATAAATGTCCATTTAAAATTCTTTTAAAAATTGGAAATAGTAACTATTTGACACAACAAGCATAGAGCAGTTTTGAAAATAAGCTCTGGTCCGCATGTCCATCTCTAAGACAGCAAAACGAAGACTATGAGATCTGGACCACTGATTCATTGTGCCCATTTTACAGACAGGAACATGAAAACCCCGAGAAATCAAATGGCTTGTGCACACACACGCACTCACCACATAAACTTCTCCCTCTTAGTGGAAGGAGTAGGCGCCCCTTTTCCATGACCACTTTTGATTTTAAGACTTGGCTATTTCACATGGCCTCAAAACCCAGTGCACTTTGCTCTTGGATTAACTGAACTATTTGAACTAAAGGCTTAACTTGTTCTTAATCTTCTCTTTGAAATGCTGACTGAAAGAAGTAGTGCCTTGCCCAACAGGTCGCAGGCACAGAAGGAAGCAAGGAGCCCTCATGCACCCTTCCTCAGCGCCACAGAGTTCCTGGTCAGAGATCTGGGACCAGATTTTCTTGGAGCCTATGTCAGATGCAGCATACCATGGTTAGAGACCAAAGCAGAGGCAGAGATAAGTGGAGGCTATCTGGAGAGGCACCAGATACTATCAGGAGAGCACATGGTGGCCTGAGCTGAGGCTACACTGTAGGAAACAGCTCTCTGGGCGTAATTCAGTGTGGGCGGAACTCTCTGTGGAAGACCCACAGAAATGGCATCTTTCCCACACGCGGGGTTCTTGGTGCCCATCACTGCCTGATGGTGTGGTATCCATCCCTATCCCACTGGGCTAAACAGCAACTGTGAATCGGAGTCTTTGAGGACTGCCCGGTAGCATTAGTCAGATCACCAGTTATAACTTTCTGCCCCACGTAGGAAGAGGCAAGGTGACTTCCTCAGCTATGGGACAAGGTGCTCACATACCCCGAAGTACCTCTTGGAGGGCTCCGAGGCAGCTGCAGGGAACCTGGGGTTCATGTCACATGGTCAGATCCGGACTCCTCCCTATTACAAAACAC